GTTATCAAGGCAAGTTAATTATTAGACCATCACCAACAAAGGTTGGTATTGAGTCCCCTGCGTTTTTGGAACGTATACAAGGGGACATTTGTGGACCTATTCACCACCTAGTGGGTCGTTCAGATATTTTATGGTATTAATAGACGCATCTTCTAGATGGTCCCATGTGTGCCTACTGTCATCACGCAACCTCGCGTTTGCAAAATTAATGGAACAAATAATTCGATTACGGGCGCAATTCCCCGATAATCCAATTAAGTCTATTAGACTTGATAATGCTGCTGAATTTTCATCCCAAGCATTTAATGATTATTGCTTATCAATTGGGATAAAAGTGGAACATCCTGTAGCTCATGTTCACACTCAAAATGGCCTTGTAGAGTCTTTAATTAAACGTCTGCAATTGATAGCAAGACCGTTACTCATGAAAACGAGGTTACCCACTTCTGTTTGGGGTCACGCCATTTTGCATGCAGCAATGCTAGTTCGTCTCAGACCGACAAATTATCATAAATATTCCCCGTTGCAATTAGTTTTGGGCCATGAACCTAATATATCCCATTTAAGAATTTTTGGATGCGCAGTATATGTGCCTGTAGCACCGCCATATCGCACCAAAATGGGTCCCCAAAGAAGGTTAGGAATATACGTTGGGTTTGAATCGCCCTCCATTATTCGCTATCTTGAAACATTAACGGGGGATTTATTCACTGCTCGATTTGCAGATTGTCGATTCGATGAGACACTTTTCCCAAAATTAGGGGGAGAAGTTGGTGAAACCAAACGGGAAATTTTGTGAAAAAATCCATCATTATCTCATCTTGATCCACGCCCCTCAATTTGTGAAAAAGAGGTGCAAAAGATTATTCATTTGTAGAAAATAGCAAATCAAACGCCAGATGCATTTACGGATATGAAAAGGATAACAAAATCACATATCCCTGCGGAGAATGTTCCAATCCGTATTGATGTCCCTATTGGACAATCTTCTAGTGTCATAGCTAATGAGTCAAAAGCACGCCTTAAACGTGGAAGACCATTAGGTTCCAAAGATCGAAATCCTAGAAAAAGGAAAACAAATGATCAAAATGACACTACGAAAGAATCTCATGAAGAAATCCACGATTTAATAAATTCTGAGATTCATGAGGAATCCACTGAGCCCGAGACTCAAGAAAATAAGGAACTATCAATAAATCCAATCGATATTGAGACAAATTTGAATCGAGTGGATATAGTGGTGGATTATGTCTTTGCATATAATGTTGCATCTAGCATTATGCAAGAAAGTGAGGATCTTGAACCTCAATCTGTTGGAGAATGTCGACAAAGACTTGATTGGCCAAAATGGCAAGAAGCAATCCAATCAGAGTTGAACTTACTTGCAAAACGTGAAGTTTTTGGGCCTGTAGTCCAAACACCTAATGGTGTTAAGCCTGTTGGCTATAAATGGGTCTTTGTACGCAAGAGAAATGAGAAAAACGAGGTACAAAGATATAAGGCACGCCTTGTTGCACAAGGATTTTCACAAAGGCCTGGTGTCGATTATGAAGAGACATATTCACCCGTTATGGATGCTATAACGTTCCGTTATCTCATTAGTTTTGCTGTCCATGAAAAGCTTGACATGCATTTAATGGATGTGGTTACCGCCTACCTTTATGGCTCACTTGATAATGAGATATACATGAAAATTCCCGATGGATTTAAAATGCCAAATGCACATAATTCAAAGTCTCGGAAAATATTTTCAATCAAATTGCAAAGATATTTATATGGTCTAAAGCAATCAGGACGAATGTGGTATAATCGTCTTAGTGAGTATTTATTAAAGGAAGGCTATATAAATGATGCCATTTGCCCATGTGTTTTCATAAAGAAAACAACATCGGAATTTATTGTACTTGCCGTATATGTTGATGACATAAACCTTATTGGAACTCCTATAGAACTCCAAAAGGCAATTGATTATTTAAAGAAGGAATTCGAGATGAAAGATCTCGGAAAGACAAAATTATGTCTTGGTTTGCAAATTGAACATTTGGCAAACGGAATTTTTGTTCATCAATCTACCTACATAGAAAAGGTATTGAAACGGTTTTACATGGATGGAGCACATCCATTAAGTACTCCGATGGTTGTTCGATCACTTGATGTGAATAAGGATCCATTCCGACCTCAAGAAAAGAATGAAGAGCTACTTGGTCCTGAAGTACCATATCTTAGTGCAATTGGTGCACTAATGTATCTTGCCAATACTACAAGGCCTGACATAACTTTTTCAGTTAATGTCTTAGCAAGATATAGCTCTGCTCCCACAAGGAGACATTGGAATGGAATCAAACACATATTGCGGTATCTAAAAGGGACTACCGATATGGGCTTATTTTATGGCAATAATTGCAGTCCTGATCTTGTTGGTTATGCCGATGCTGGATATTTATCTGACCCACACAAGGCTCGGTCTCAAACAGGTTATGTGTTTACCTGTGGAGGCACTGCCATATCTTGGCGATCGACTAAGCAATCAATTGTGGCTACTTCATCTAATCATGCTGAGATAATTGCTATTCATGAAGCAAGTCGAGAATGTGTGTGGTTGAGGTCTATAATACATCTTATTCGAGACAAATGTGGTGTGAAATGTGACAAGTTACCCACAATTTTGTATGAAGATAATGCAGCATGCATAGCTCAATTGAAGGGAGGATTCATAAAAGGAGATAGGACAAAGCACATTTCACCAAAGTTATTTTTCACACATGATCTTCAAAAGAATGGTGATATTAATGTGCAACAGATTCGTTCAAGTGATAATATGGCTGATTTGTTCACAAAATCTCTACCAACGTCAACCTTCAAGAAGCTAGTTTACAAGATCGGGATGCGAAGGCTCAAGGATGTGAATTGATGCTCTCATCAGGGGGAGTTAATGCGCGTTGCACTCTTTTTTCCTTACAAGGTTTTGTCCCACTGGGTTTTCCTTGCAAGGTTTTTAACGAGGCAACCAATAGGCGCATTTCTAAACATGTGTACTCTTTTTCCTTTTCTAGAATTTTTTCCCATTGGGTTTTCTTTTAGGTAAGGTTTTAACGAGGCACATTATCTGTTGAATAGACATTCAGGGGGAGTGTTATAAATAGAATTCTATTTATGGTGAATGTCTATATTTAGAGAGATTCTAGGGTTTATTACTTGGTGGCTAAGTCAACCTCTCCCTATAAATAGAGGGTTCTATTCCATTGTAATTCATCCCAAAAATTCAATAACAATTCCCTCTCTCTCTTTCTCCGCAATATTGCTCTTGTTCTTTTATTATTTTATAATAACCAAGAAATTAAACTCATTCTTCATATTTTCATCTGTTAATTAATACAAGAAAAGGGGGTATGAATCTAGAAAAGTTGGGACCTATTCTAAAATCTCACTGCTGGAAAGGCTTTACACAACTGCTCCCAACAGCTATGTATGGGCCTCCAATTATCCATTGCACCTAAAGACCATCTGAATATTTTAGCAGCAAACTGCTAGGAGATTACAATCTTCAAGTAGGCCTAATTACTGATTGCAAAATACTGTTGGAAACTTTCTTCAATAGTAGAGATGATGGCAACCGGGCACGAAGGTCGCGACGTAGTCAAGAATTTTGCTAAGAATGTTTAAGATTTAATATATATGAATAACAAGTAATTTTTACCTATATAATGTTTTAAGTACATAGTACAAGTTTTTGACGAAGGATGTTGAATGCCCTTCCGTCTATGTGGCCCCGCCCCGGACGGGTGCAGGGCAAGGTCAAGGGAGCACTTATGCAGGCCAAGATAAAGCGAACAAAAACAATTTTCATAAAATCAGATGTAGGACAAAGCAAGAGGCGGGTTAAATATAAATTAACAAATTTATAGCTTTAAACTCGTCAACAGTGGAAAGGAAAAAAGAAAAAAAAAAAAATTAGACGGGACCATGCATGTTTATGTAGGGCGAGGCGGACAAAAGATAGAGAAGATCGCTCAGCAGGGCAAGGCGGGGCGGATTAAATGAAAATTAACAAGTATTATTGTTTTAATTTTTTAACTATTAAGTTTAGTTAAACAACAACGGGAAGAAAAAAACAAAAATAAAAGAAAACTTAGACGGGGCCATGCATGTCTATGCAGGGCGAGGCGGGATAAAAGATAGAGAAGATTGCTCAGCAGGGGGGGGGGGGTGGATTAAATCTTTTGCGAAGTAAGACTTAAAGTGCCTCGTCTGACCTCGCCCTGCTAACTATCTCTATTCCGTAGGCATCTTAAAATTGTTTTCCTTCTGAATGCACAATACAATTTTTCGATAAAGAGTATTCAACTAACCACCCTTCTGTCTATGTGGCTCCCACAAGTGCAGGCAAGGTAGCTCTTATGTAGGGCAGGATAAGGCAAACTAAAACAATTTTTTTAAAGTCAAATGCAGGACAAGGCAAGAGGCCGGGTTAAATGAAATCAACTACTTTTACAGCTTTAACTCGTCAAGTTTAGCTAAATAACAGTGAAAAGAAGAAAAGAAAAATAAAACAGAACTTAGATGGGACCATACATGTCTATGCAGGGCGAGGCGGACAAAAATAGAGAAGATTCCTTGGCAGGGCAGGGCGGGGCAACGCGGATTAAGACTTTTGCGAAGTAAGACCTCAATTGCCTCGTCTGACCTCGCCCCTGTTCGCCATCTCTATTCCATAGGCATCTCATAGCTGTTTTTCTCTTGTATGCAGAAGTTGTAAAAATGCAGCAACCAGCAAGGTCTTTGAATTTTCTAGTTTCCTGGTATCATTTTTTCTTTCAAGAAGTAACTCAACTAGGACAGAATACAAAAATTGCTAAAGTGCATGTAGATAGGTACTCTTGGACTACTTTAACATGTTCAGTTTCATGCTAAGGGTAAGAAGATTTATACACATTTCATTAGTATTTCTTAGACCATATAACAGAATTACAGAATCCATCTACTAAGCAAAAGAAATACTACTCAACAAAGTCTTCCTTCTCAACACTAACAGAGAAACTAGAGGAAGTAAAGAAATTGTACAAATCAAATCAAGCAATACTATACATATTTATTTACAAGAAATCAGCACAACTCGTACAGACAGTCATGAGGACATATAATCAGCTAACATGATACTCACTGTGGTCGGAGCGACTGGCAACCTTCATTCTAAGATGTATATTAAGTATCTATTTTTTACTTCTAGGAGAAGACGAACCTTGTTTTGATAAAAACTTCTTTAATAATCCTTGTGCCTTTGAACTAGATTTCTGCTGTGTAAGGTCAATGGTAGAGCCTCTAGAAATGTCAACATCCGCATCTGAAGATTCTTCATTATTATTAAATTCACCTCTCAACAGTGTCAGTAACTCCATAGCCATTGCCTTCGCTTTGCTATTTCCATTGACAGATATATTGAAAAGATCAAGGATGATCCCTTCATCCATGGCCAGGCGACAGCGTTGAATGCATTGAGAACACAAAGAAAGAAGAAGAGCCACCGCATGCTCCTGATCCTCACGACTGCCACTGTCAAGTAGTTTCACGACTGAAGATATGCATCCATCGGTCTTAGCTACAGAAGTCGTAGCATCTTCCGTGATGCATAAATTTTTCAAAATAATAAGAGTGTCTCTTGCTAGAGCTGTATCTTCTAGAAAAGGAATCAACTTGGGAATGAGTTCTGAAGGTGTAATCAAGGAAACAATTCTGCTATTTTCAGACAAATTACTTAATATTTTGATGGCTGGTTCAGGCAATTCTGCGTTCTGGGCATCAAGCATCTCTAGAATAGGAGTCAGAGCACCAGAAGCCGCAAATTTTTGTTGACAATATTGGTGGCAGGACAATATCTTCAATACGGCAAGGGCTTCTTTAGAAACCTCAGTTCCAAGAAATGATACCAGCAGTGCAAAAGCATCGTCATTCAAATCTGGAATATTGCTCCTGATACAAAACAACCCATGTAGGATTAGTGTGAGGAAGCAAACACACGATAAAGGAAGAACAAAAGAGAAGCCTAAAAGCAAAACAAAACAGCGGACGAGTTGAGCTTGTATCATTAAACATTAAGCAGGACTACTACTTCACATTCTAGTCTCATATTTAAAATTCTGAACCAGCATGCTTCTGAAAGGCGTTAACCATATTTTTTCTATTAGGCAGCTCGGAGCACAAAGCATCTCGCATTCACGCAGGGTCCGAGGAAGGGCCGCACCCAAGGGGTGTGATGTAAACAGCCTAACCTAATGCTCTAAAAGGCCTTAACCAATTGGAAATAAATTGTACAAAAAGGCGGTGAACCAACTTGGACCAAATTCATTCGATACTCTAGCAAAGCCAGATCAAGGATTTAAATTTTATAGGTTCAGGACTCGGGTACGAACGACTGAACCCATCACCTTATTAAAGTTCTGGGTTCATAGTTTAATATTTTCAACTATTCCAATAGATTTTACACATATAAATCCAGGTCTAAGCTAAAAGTTACGTGTTAATTTGTACCCATATCATCATATGTAGATTACTAGATCCAACCCTGATATTAAGCCTTACCTTAAAAAGGGTAAGAAGTTAGAAACAATTTCACAAAAAATTAACATGAATACAAACACACCACCACACACACAGAGAGAGCAGAGCGGAGTAAAGGTTTACCTGCATTTCTGCAAAACTGTTGACAATGATAGACATCCCAGTATTTGGGCATTTAGATCATTGAAATCACGTGCATCATTCAAAAATCTAACCATTGTTAGAACAAAATCTTCGGATGACATCCAACTGCAAGCTTGATCGTTATGTTTGAAAAAGTTACTAATATTTCCAACCAAGATGCATTGTGACTCCCAAGAAAATGAACTGAACCCGGTTAAGTGATTCAGGTCCATATCCTGAATGCTTACACCAGATTGAATTTTGTGAATACTGTCATTGCTTTCCCCTGAAACCACATCGAAGTCATTTGGTGTCTTAGCAACGGACACAAGACCAGCATCTGGCGATCCACAAGATAAATTGCTGAATTCTATAGGAAGACGTAGATCATTCACTGAGCTGCTCAAGCTAGTAATTGAATTCAAAGAAGATTTAAATGAGTGAGCCGCTGCTGCCTCCATGCTCGGGTCAGGAACACTGACTCCATGTGTTGCACTCCACCTTGATATTAGGTCCTTCATTGTGTAATTCGGGGTCAAAGACAAGTGCGCCAATTTCCTTTTAGTCAATGGACATGTATCATGACCTTCAGCAAACCATTTCTGAATCCAAAATCTTTCATATGTTTGTCCAGAGGCAATTACGACAGGATCGTACATTAATCTCAAACACAAAGGACATTTAAACTCATCCGGTGGTCGACAGCTCCTCAGAATGTCCTCTTGAGCATCGTCAGATCCACATCTCAAACAAGATTTTGCTTCACATTGATTTGTACATAGGAAAGAGTCTTCCCGCTGCAAAGAGCCGCTCTCCGTTTGCTCTATCACGATTGATTTTCCATGCTTACTGAGGATATTCAGAAAAAGCAATAAAATCTTCTTTTTCTGACCGTCTCCAACTCTCCCCAGCATCCTTTTGATGGATCTTTTCTCTACTAAAAGAGTTTGTAGAGATGTGATATGAAGCCTCCGCATAGAAAGTTGAATTGCCTCAAAGGCATGTTCTTCCGCTGAATCTGTTGTCACATACTGATGAAGTAATTCCATCACAACCCTCCCTGCCTCCTCTTCAGATGGATCCAAGCTGAATATCGCATCCTTCAGTTCAGCAATCAGTAGCGAAATCTGCAGCCAATCTTTTTCATTAAAGTGGATGGCCGCAGGACACAAACAAATATAAAAACCAACCAGGTAAAACAGAAAAAGGAAAGGAAAAAACCATGGGGAAAGAATAGATGAATATGAGAAATAAAATTCTACGATGCCGATATCTGCTTAGTCAAATGCACACCACGGACTTTGTTATTTAGTTGAAAAATCTACTAACTAGCAAGCACCACAAGCTTGGATGTAAATTTACAAATGAAACAGATTAAGAACTATGCGATCAAGACCACTGGAAAAAAAATTATGCATAGATGATTCTCTCAAAGGAATGTTTTCTGACTGACCTTTGCGGCCAGCGATACTGGAACCATATTTTGCACTTGGCCTAAGCTTTGCTTAAGCAAGTTTCTTGATCTATCACATCGTGAAAGTATAACATCTCCTGTTAGTGCCTGAAAACACAATACAGATTGTTATTCAGTGAATGAAGCCAATAGAGTATCATCAAAGTATGTTCATAATTTGCGAGATATATTTAACAAAAACAGTTAACACAAAGCTGGTTGGCTTAGCTTGGTCGAGAATACGTACCAAGTATAGCTTACTAGATTCACTGCAGTGCTGAATCAGTGTCTTGGCTTTGAGAATTTCATTGTTCAACAGGCAAAGTGCCTCTGAGCATCGAGGACGGGCTGCTTCAATTTCAGGAAGTAATATTGAAACTCTACTTACTAACTGAATTAGTTCCATGCACATTAGACGATGCACCTGTAGTCATCATAACCACTCATGAGATGATCGATCGAGTTAATTTAATAAAGAGAAATATAAGTTTCGTAAATGGCACCATGGTATGGGAGAAATGACAAGGAAAGTAAACAGGAAAATGGACAGATACTATCATTACATTTAGAAAACTAACAATGTTTCAAAAACAAAATCCCAACCAGCAGAATTTTCCAAAGAGGCAAGAACCTTTTGTTTTAATAGTTTTTAAGTTCCATTCATGGGATCCAAACTAGGACTATTGAAATCCAAGCATGAACAGCTTTTTGCACAAAGTCCAATTAATGGAAAAACCTCTTCTTTTAACTCTGTAATTAACCAAGAAAAGGGATTAATAACCACTTATACTCGGGGGCGGACACACATTAAACGAAGTGGTGTCACGCGACACCGCTTCGTCGGAAAAGTTTACAAAATATATGTATCAATATTGTGAGGAAACGGATACGTAGGAAGAAAAACACAAATTGTCTCCTAGCACATTGGTTATGTGCCTGATTTTGCTCTAAGAGGTCAGAGGTTTGAATCACAACTAACACGTACTTTTTTGCAAATATTTGAGAGAGCCTCTCTAGTTAAAAATTGTGATTAAGTAGGATTGAACTCGGGACCTTTTCTAACTTAAGACTCGACAAAATTAATGGACTAAAGCTATTTACCGTCTAGAAATATGATAATTAAAGTTATTTATTCCTGTTCTTCTATAGATTTCGACATCGCATACTAAATGTAAAGATACCAAGACTAAGACAAAGTGACAAGCCTACTATAGAGTAACAACTCTCATTACACGAACAATAACAACAAGAAGACATCTACACCTCAGTCCCAAACAAGTTGGGGTCGGCTAAATGAATATCAAGCCATCTCTTTACACGAACAATCCCATGGAGGTGCAGATAAGGAACTAAAGCAGAGAGAGCTAGGAGCATAGTAGTATATACCTTAATAGCGTGATGAGACAGCGGTGTCTCACTTACTTCAGCAACAACAATCCCCATAACAGTTTCTGATAAAAAGAGCGGAATACGGAGTGTCAAATTTAGCATGGGACTAAATCCACGTGCTCGAATTCCGGAAATATTTGGAGAAAGTTATTACCCATAACCTCACGAACCCAAATATATAATTTTCACTCAATTCTATAATCATTTTCGTGGTTAAATCCCATTTTTATCAAAACCTAGGTTTTTCATCTAACCCATAATTTTCACAAATACACATGTTAAAATACCTATGTATTTAACTTGCATTAGACATAAATCACTTACCTCCAAGTTGCTAGGTAAATACCCCTCTCAAAAAGCTCCAAAATCGCCCAAAAAGCGAGAGAAATGGGTTAGAAACGGCTTAAGTCCCGTAATAAATGAAGCTTACTGCCTCCAGGACATCCGCTTCTGCGGCTCCATGGCGACATCTACGGCTCCACATCTGCGGAAAGGGCCTCAGAGATGCGATCCTTCCCCTCAGCTGGCTCCCTCACTTCTGCGACCAGCGGCTCGCTTCAGCTGTGAGCACGTCGCACCTGCGCCTTCCCCCGCTTCTGCGGTCGATTGCTTCGCACCTGCACTTTCGCGGGTGTGGTCCCTGCCTCGCTTCTACGATCACTAGGCAACCTACACAGGGCCGCTTTTGCGATCATTGGCTCGCTTCTGCGAGCTCGCACCTGTGGCTGGCCCTCCGCAGGTACGATTGCACCAGAAGCTGGGTGCTTCATCTGTTCAACCAAGGCAAAATGACTTCGCGCATCGTCTGAATGGCATCCGGGGCCCCCGCGTCCAAACATACCAACAAGTTTGAAATCATAAAACGAACTCGCTCGAACCCTCGGAACACTTAAAACAACACCAAAACTAAGAATCACACCCCAAACCAAGTTGAATCAACTTATGAACTTCAAGTTCTTCCAACTTACTCCAAACGTGCCGAAACATACTTAAACTACTCGAAATGACACCAAATTTTTTGTGCAAGTCTTAAATAACCATATGGAACTACTCCCAGGCTCGAAATTCCAATTGGACCTCGATAACACCAAATCATACTTCAAACCAAATTTAAAGAACTTTAAAACCTTCAATGTGCCAACTTTCAATATTAAGCGCCGAAACGTTCCTGGGTCATCCAAAACTTGATTCGAATATATCCCCAAGTCCGAAATCATCATAAGAACCTATTGGAACCGTCAAATCCCGATTCCGAGGTTGTTTACTTAAAATGTTGACTCAAGTCAAACTTAGCCCTTTTTGCCAACCTTAAGGATCTAAGTGTTCCTATTTCAATCCGAACCCTTCCAAATCCCGAACTAACTATCCCCGCAAGTCATTAAATAGTAAAAGCACACACGGGGAGTCTTATTTAGCAGAACGGATATCTAAATAGCAAAAGGACCGATCGAATCATTACAAAATGTTACTCCATCAATTTATTCAAAAAACTAAGGATAAAGTTATTGTTTTAATATTGATAAAGAAAGAAAGATTTATATAGGAAAAAAAGAGAGGGATGCGTTATCTTATCACCTCCTCAAGATAGTGATTTCATGACTCTTTTAGATGGTAAATTAATGGGATACAACAAGTTTGTTATAAGTTGTCTTGAGGTGTCTGATTTGAAGTGATGAGTTCAAGTAGTGTTTCATCTTGTTTTTCTTTTTAATTTGTTCCAAAACTAAGAAAGTCATTTATGATTATATTTATTAATAATTTAACTTTAACTTTTTTATTTTATTCTTAAATCGTAAGCTTCAATTTTTTTCTTTATTACACCTTATCCAATCAAATACTTTCCACAAAAAATAAATGGATAGAGTAATATTTGAGAACAAATTTTACCATCTCGGAACAACTATAGTTAGACCTCTTTATAATAGTATTCCTATATTACAACACTTCACTCTAAAAGCCAAACTTTTCCAGAATCAATTTTCATGTTATGTTATAATATATGTTCTCTATAACAGCGCTTTGCTATAACATCCAAGAAAGAAAACGAGGCTGTTATAGAGAGGTTTAACTGTATATCGTATAAAGTAAATTTCTCTTTTCCAACACATAATCTTGCTAACATACTACATGATGGTATTATATTAGCATTGTACCCATTTTTTCTTATCTAAAATATCCTTGCATTTATGATGCCCATTCATTAGCTATGTGCGCACTTTGGTAATTTTAAATAAAACCCAGCTAATTCCTCATCATCTCCCCTCTTCTTCCCTTGTTCTTTCTTGGGCACAACATAAAATTATCTAGCCAGCTGAATCTAATTCTATTCCTGTATATGGTCGAAATCAGGCACGACCGATTTTGCAGGCTCGAAGGATCGCCTTAGGTCCGAATTCAAGTAAGTTCGAGTTCGAGGTCGACAGACTATACTCAAGCTCGAGGATGGAATGCAATGCCCGAAGATAGGAGTGCGAGAAATACCGAAGTCAAGTGTGATTCGACCCCGAAATTGTACCGTTATAAATTTATAACAGAATGAGCTAGATTCCTGTCACGTCCCCAAGATCATGGCGCAAATTTCGGAATAAGATTGTACGATTTCGTACCAGGCGGTTAGACAGCTGTATCAAGAATATTCCTTATTGTAAATAAAAATATACTTTATTTAGGGTTCCCCTATTATATAAAGGGGACCCCAATTATTTGTAACATCATCTCATCATTGGCAAGAATATACTGTCCTATTTTTCTCTCTTACTATTCATCAGAATTGTCCTTTACTATCCTTTACATTGATTGTTCTTACTTTATTGCTCTTAGTCCATCTCGAGGTCACTATGCTCGAAGTCATCACTGTTGAGTAACATTGATTTGATTCACTTATTTCTTTCATTTCTACTTTATATTTCTTGATTATTAATTGGTATTGAGGTTAATCACATATCTTTAAAACCACAAACTAAATTTAATTGTTACTCATATTTTTGAGGTAAACAGTTTGGCGCCCACCGTTGGGCTAAAGATAATAGTGATTGTTTCTTTACTGATTCTCATTACACACGTTATTTTACCCTTTTTCTTGTCAAGAATTTTTGATTCTCAGGATGAAACATGTCTAGCTCACAAAATGCGCCTGTTCATAACAACGAAGGTCTTGGTGAAAACAACAATATAGGGGTCGGTTTACCATCAATAAACCATGGGGAAGTGCCAATCATGGAACCAGTTGATGTTAGTTCACACATTGCTCTAAAGCGGATTTAGGCACAGACCACGGAGGGAGTGTACGCAGGGAAGCCCGGCCTGGTGGCCAAGGAACACAAGGAGTGGGTAATGGGGAAATCAGCCTCCAAGTGATATTCGAGATGCTGCAAGCTCAACAGATCGCCATTGCTCAACTTCAAAGTCAAAATAAGACTCCGAGTGTAGCTGAGCTTGAAAACACTCAACGTGCTGAGCCAGTGCCAGAGAGGTCAAATGGAAATGGCTCAGGGGACTGACCCCACCATTATGAGGATGCTCGAAGAGCTTACTAAGAGGATCGAGTTCGGAGAGAAGAAAAGTGAAGACAATGACAAAAAGGTGAAAACTTATAACTCCCGTGTTGACCAAATACCGGGGGCACCTCCAGTTTTGAAAGGATTAGATGCCAAAAAGTTCATACAAAAACCATTTCCTTAGAGCGCGGCTCCGATGCCCATCCCTAAAAAGTTTTGCATGCCCGATATACCCGAATATAACGGGACAACCGACCCTAACAAGCATATTACTTCATACACTTGCGGGATCAAAGGAAATGATTTGAATGACGCCGAGATCGAATCAGTCTTGTTGAAAAAGTTTGGAGAAACATTGTCGAAAGGAGCTATGATTTGGTATCACAACTTACCTCCTAACTTTATTGACTCATTTGCTATGTTAGTAGACGCCTTTGTGAAAGCGCACGCCGGGTCCATAAAGGTGGCGACGAGAAAATCAGATGTCTTCAAGATAAAACAAAGGAACGACGAGATGTTAAGGGAGTTCGTGTTCAGGTTCCAGATGGAGCGAATGGAGTTACCACCGGTCTCAGATGACTGGGCAGTATAAGCTTTTATGAAGGGCTTAAATGAAAGGAGCTCGATTGCGTCTCGATAATTAAAGCAAAATTTGATCGAGTATCCGGCTGTGACATGGTCGGATGTGCACAACCGCTATCAATCAAAAATTAGGGTCGAGGCGACCAGTTGGGAGCCCCCTCGGGTTCAGTTCATCCTAATAGATTCGCAGCCAAGCCCCCGAGGGATATAGATAGGGAATCAAAATCGAACAAGGAATGGTATCAGCCATACGTCGATCGAAGAAACAACGGTTCGGGTCGAAACACCCCAAAAATGATCGGAGAAATGATCGAGGTCAAATCTCGAGGGCTCATAAGTAAGAGCGGGTTCAATAAGCATACCAACCCTGCAGAAGCATCTCGACCGTCAGAGTACAACTTCAGCGTATATGTATCGAGGATTGTGTCAGCAATTGAAAGAATCAAAGACACCAAGTGGCCCAGGCCAATACAAACTGATCCTTCTCAAAGGAACCCGAACTTGATGTGCAAGTATCATGGCACACATGGTCATAGAACAGAAGATTGCAGGTAGCTAAAAGAAGAAGTGGCTCGACTGTTCAACGAGGGCCATCTTCGAGAATTTCTAAGCGATCGAGCCAAGAATCACTTCAGGGAGAGAGATGCAAGAAAAAATGAACAAGAAGAACCACAACATGTAATCCACATGATCTTTGGTGGCGTCGATGTCCCGCAAGGACCTGTGTTCAAACGCACCAAGGTGTCGATCACAAGAGAAAAATGTATTCGGAGCTATGTGCCCGAGGACGCCTTATCATTCTACGACGAGGAAGCAGAGGGCATATCTCAGCCACACAACGATGCCCTGATAATCTCTATCCTTTTAAATAAAATTCAAGTTAAACGTGTTCTCGTGGATCCAGGTAGCTAAGCAAACATAATCAGATTGAGGGTCGTAGAGCAGCTCGGCCTACAAGATCAGATTGTACCTGCG